CAGGCCATAGCAGAGAGCTGGATGGGAAGAGGAGCACCATTCAGGTCTCCCATGTGGGTGCAGGGGCCCAAGCTCTTGGCCGTCTTCCACTGCTTTCCCAGGCGCATTAACAGGGAGCTGGATCAGAGGTGGAACAGCCAGGACGTGAACTGGCACCCGCAGGAGATGCTGATGGGTTACCGCGAGGGCGCAGCACCAGCCGCATGACGTCACTGCATATAGCGTGCTTGATCTTCTGTGGATTTGGTGAGGCCTGGCACTGACCCCTGTGGACACGGGGACACTGCACCAGCTGCTGCGTCACAGGGACAGTTCCGTGCCAGCCCGCGGGGGTCCGTCTCGCTCTGATAGCTCTCGGCATTCTGTTGCGTGTGTGTGCTTTGTTGAATGACTGAAGGAATGAATTCTTGAATGAATAGATGCCCGGCTGAAGAGCTGTGGCCCTGATCTTGAGGGAAGCCCCTGGGGGGGGGGGTGACTACTTTGGAACATTCCAGACTCTGCTCAACTCCGGGGCATTCTTCCTCTGAGCTTAATCCAACACCTTCATATTCCAGCCCCCATATCTCCTCCTCCAGGAAGCCCTCTCTGACTGCTAGGCTAAACTAAGCACCACTCCTGGGCTCCCCTGTCCCAGCTCTGCCCACTCTGAGTCGCCACTGTCTGGGCCTAGGTTTGTCTTCCTTACTGGACTCTGAGTGCTGTGCGGACAGGGCCAGGACCCTGGCACCACCCGCCCCAGGGCCAGTCAGACACCATGGTCAGAATCACTGGGTGGCCCTTGAGGGCAGTGTCTCTCCCTTGGACGAGAGCCAAGTGCAAGGGCAGGCACCAGTGTCTGATGGGGGTGAGGTGCAGCCCGAGGGCGGAGGCACCTGATCCCAAATCTCTTGCGCAGGAAGTGGCTTGGGCCATGACCAACCTCATTACCCTTATCTGCTTCCAAGTGGTGCAAACGGCGGAGGGAAGCGGGTCAGAGAACACAGTGCCTGGCCTTGGCCCTGGTTCCGCGTCCCCTCCCTCAAATGTTCTTCCCCAGTCGCCCCCACCTCCACCGCCCCGCCCCGGGCCCCCTTATGGCTCAGATGCCGCCTGCTCACAGCCCCCCGTGCTGACCCCGCCACTCTGCCGGAGATGTTTTCGCTCGGCTGGCTGCTGGCACTTATCTGCACCTGGCAGCCCCAGCGCCCTTCCTCATTAGCAGGCAGACAAAGAGTTTTGTCTGGGCTTCGCTGTTTTTGTTTCGCTCATCCTGATGAATCCGGGCTACGAACAGCCCTGGCCCTTGGTAAGGGCTAAGGAAATCCTTGCAGAATGAGTGACAGGCACAGGACACGCCCCCTCCCGGGCGGGACTTGGTTGGGGGAGGTGCCCTGAATGTACCATCCGGAGTAGGCTTTGGGGGGTGGGGGCTCTAGGACAAAGAAGCTGTGCTCGCTGATGGGTGGTGGAGCCAGGCTTGCAACCCCTCACCCTGGGCCTTTGGGGCCCCCTCTAGGGTCAAGGAGTGTGGGGAGTGACCGGGAGTGAGGGACGCAGGCGTGGAGGATGAGAGAGCCCGGCAGGGGAGCAGTCAGGGAGACACAGGGAGCAGGTGGAGGGGCCACACCTGGCAGGTTCTCAGCTCCCTCGGTGCCCGCCGTGGGACAGGGCCACAGGCTCTCCGCACCCTGTGCCCCGCAGGCCGAGGGTCAGGCCTGAGGGCTCGCCGCGGCCAGTCTGCGGGGCCCAAACTGACATCTTCAGTAACACCAGCAATGACAATAAGAGCGATAGCAGAAAGAGCGACAGAGAGAGAGACAGAGAGAGACAGAGAGAGAGAGAGGTCTTCCATCAGCTGGTTCACTCCCCAAATGGCCACGATTTGGACTGGGCCAGGCCCAAGCCAGGAGCCTGAGACTCCATCCAGGTCTCCCACGTGGGTACAGGGGCCCAAGCACTTGGCCCATCGTCTGCTGCTTTCCCAGGTGCATTAGCAGGGAGCTGGATTGGAAGTGGAGCAGTGAGGACTCAAACTGGTGCCCCTATGGGATGGGGCTTAACCGGCCGCCTGCATGGCCACGTGGGTGCTAGTTCGCGTCCACCACGGGCTCACCTGCACCTGTTATCTCAGTACATCCCCGCAACACCCACGGAGGCGGGGCTCTCCCTACTTTCCCACTCGACAGAAGTGGAGCCCGAGGGCTTGCAGCTGTCGCAGGAGGCAGCTTGCACAGGGATCCCCAGGATCTAAGCGCTAAGTGTGAAAGCTGGGATTGTCCCCAGCGCATGTCAGCACTCTGGGGGGAGGAGGGAAGTACTCAGAAACTGGCAAACGCCCGAGTCCCTCCCCAGAGCGCGGGGGTTCGATGCTGGCCTCTGGCTCCTGACCCCAGCTTCCTGCTAACGCAGCCCCTGAGAGGCAGCAGTCCTGTGACCTGGACCGGGGACGGCTCGTCTGTCTTCCCACAAGAAAGAATTCAGACTGGAGACGGTGCTAAATTTTACTTATTTTAAAAGATTTATTTTATTTATTTGAAAGGGCAGTTACAGAGAGAGGTAGAGACAGAGAGAGAGGTCTTCCATCCGCTGGTTCACTCCCCAGATGGCCACAATGGCCGGAGCAGTGCCGATCTGAAGCCAGGAGCCAGGAGCTTCTTCCAGGTCTCCCACGTGGGTGCAGGGGCCCAAGCACTTGGGTCACCTTCTGCTGCTTTCCCAGGCCACAGCAGGGAGCTGGATCGGAAGTGGAGCAGCCAGGACTAGAACCGGCGTCCATATGGGATGCCAGCACTTTAGACCAGGGCTTTAACCCACTGTGCCACAGCGCCGGCCCCTACTTATTTTACTTTTTAAAAATATTTATTTATTTATTTGAAAGACAGAGTTACAGAGACAGAGGGAGAAGAGAGAGAGAGAGAGAGAGATTGATTTTCCATCTGTGGTTCACTCCCCAAATGGCCACAATAGCCAGGACTGGGGGAGGCCGAAGCCAGGAGCCTGGAGCTCCCTCCTGGTCTCCCGGGTGGGTGGCCGGGCCCAAGGTCTTGAGCCATCTTCCGCGGCTTTCCGAGGTGCACTGGCAGAGAGCCGGATCGCGAGGGGCGCCGCCCGTGTGGGACGCTAGGGTCGCAGGCAGCGGCTGCTTAAGCGGCTGCACCACAACACCGGTCCTGGCAGCAAACAGAAACACTGCTGGAGCGGGCGGGCGGCTCAGGAAAGAGGTTTGGACTGAGGTTTCGACGGAGGAGTATGAGCCCTCCGTTTCTACCCCCACACCCCCTTCTGGGATATCCCTGGGTGGAGGGCTTCCTGGGCATGGAGTACTTGAAATTCCGCCCAGGACTTCCTCAGCACAGTGCTATTGGACCTAAGAGCTCTCTTGATGACAGGCAACGAAGAGTCCCCTAAGCTCTACCCCCACCCCCACCCCCACCCCGAGGGCTGGGACCCACTTGACCAGGTGATGGAGGAACAAGACTTTCGATGTGCAAACGCTAGTCTGCTTCCAAGACTTGCTGCTACATTGTTTTCTTCTGGTAGTTGTACAAAACTCTGAGCCCTCTCACACGTGTAGGCTGACAGTCAAGGCTCAAGGAAGTGCGAGACCTGGACTGAGTTCCCAGCACCCAGCTTTGGTTCACATCGGCATCCCATGTGGGCACCGGTTCGAGTCCCAGCTGCTCCACTTCCAATCCAGCTCCCTGCTAAGGCACCTGGGAAAGTGGTGGAAGATGATCCAAGTGCTTGGGCCCCTGCACCTGCATGGGAGACCTGGAGGAAGCTCCTGGCTTCAGCCTGACACAGCCTGGCTGTTGCTGCCATTTGGGGGGTGAACCAGCAGATGGAAGATCTCTCCCTCTCCCCCTCTCTCCCTCTCTCCCTCTCTCCCTCTCTCCCTCTCTCCCTCTCTCTCTGTAATTCTGACTTTCAAATAATAAACAAATCTCTCTCTATTTTTTTAAAATATTTATTTATTTGAGAGGCTTCCCCAGGCCTCCCAGGGACTCGAGTTGACGCCCATATGGGATGCCAGTGCCCATATGGAATGCAGCCTTAACTCTGGCCCCGGTTCAGTCTTTTGAGGGCATTTGTGGTGTGAAGCTGTAGGTGGGAGTTCTCAAATAAATAAACAAAACCTTTTCAAACAATCAGCAAATGGCATGTAAAGTTTGTGCACTTTGCTGTGTGTGAATTTATCTTAAAAGGAAAAAAGCACACACATACTGAACTCTGATTTATAATACGTGTGCCAAAGTATTTACAGGACAAAGGCACTGATTCTGCAACTTCGGCGAGCATCAAAAGAACACAGAGGTAAACGGCTGGAACTGTGATGTAGAAACACGGCAAAATCATTGTCGATGCTGCGTGCTGGCTACATATGAACGTCTGCTGCAAAACCCTCTCAACTTCTGTGTGCTTGACATTTTTCACGGTGAAACACGGGACCAAATATTTGGTGAGTGTGTGAAAAGCATTAGCATAATCCCTGCACAGAGTTCTAATTTTTCAGGATGGATTGCGCGTTGTGCACTGAAGCAAATCACAATCTTCATATCCGGGCAACTGCTCATTAACTGAAATGAATAATCCGTCTCATTGACATTTTAGAGCAATCACGTGGGGGAGGAACTGACATTTGAGGGGCTGAGGGTCTGCAGGGCGACAAAAGCTGGTGGGGAGTTCCAAGCTGGGATGACCTAGGACCACCTGCCACTCCCACAGTGGTCCAGGGCCCCAGCCAACTGCCCCATTCCCTTGGCGGGAAAAGCACTCTCCCAACGCCCCGCCCTGCTGGCCACGCCCCAGACTAGCCACGCCCCTGGGTGTAGGCATTGTCATTCGGTCTTCTGTGGTGACCCGGCCCCCTCGGGTCTCCGCCCCGCCCCTGCTCGCAGGCGGGGCCCTGCCGCGCCGCAGCCAATCGGCGCCCGCGGGCCGGTCCCCGCCTTCCCAAGCCCCGCCTCCCGCCCTTAATCCTGGCCGCTTCCGCTAGCCAGGCTCAGAGCCACGCGTCGCGACTCGGTGGCTTCTCCGAGTAGCCGCTGCCTCCCGCGCCCAGGGACCCGGGTCCCCCTTCTGGGACCCCAAAGGCTGGGTCCCGTCCTCAGCTTCCCAGATTCAGGGTCCCTCAGCCCTCGGTTCCCAGGACACAAGCGCGCGGGGTCTTCGCCTCCTGGAACGGGGCGACCCGGATCTGCGGCACCGGCACCAGGCTATCTGCTGACGGCCGCCCCCTCGGGGCACCCTCAGCCCCCCGGCAGCCAGCCGAGTTCTCCACGTGCCAGGCTGAGCAACTCCTGTGTTCCCGACTCTCGAGGTCAAGAAACTCAGGCGCTCCCAGCTCCCAGCTTCCGGGCGTCCGGCACAGCCGGGAAGAGCCGAGGAGCCCCGGCGCCCCACCTCGGGCCCTCGGACCCTCCCGCTTCCAGGAGCCAAGGGCGTTGCAAAGTTCCAGCCTCCGGGCGCTGCTGCTCCACTCTCGGCGCGGAGAAGGGACGTCCGGGGAAGGAGCCGCCGGCGCTCTCGGCTTCTGCGCCCTCGGGAGCCCCCGTGCGCCCCCATCATGGTGGCCGATCCTCCGAAGGGAGACCCCAAAGGGCTCGCGGCTGTCGAGCCCACCGCCAACGGGGCCCCGGCGCAGGACCCCTTAGAGGACTCGGGCGCAGCGGTGGGCCGCTGCTGTAGCTCCCGGGACCAGGTGCGCCGCTGTCTTCGCGCCAACCTGTTGGTGCTGCTCACGGTAGTGGCCGTGGTGGCCGGCGTGGCGCTGGGGCTGGCGGTGTCCGGGGCCGGCGGCGCGCTGGCGCTGGGCCCTGCGCGCCTGATAGCCTTCGCCTTCCCGGGCGAGCTGCTACTGCGCCTGCTGAAGATGATCATCCTGCCGCTGGTGGTGTGCAGCCTGGTGGGCGGCGCCGCCAGCCTGGACCCCAGCGCGCTCGGCCGCCTGGGCGCCTGGGCGCTGCTCTTTTTCCTGGTCACCACGTTGCTCGCCTCGGCGCTCGGCGTGGGCTTGGCTTTGGCGCTGCAGCCCGGCGCCGCCTTCGCCGCCATGAACGCCTCGCTCTCGTCCACGGGCGCTGTGGAACAAACTCCCAGCAAGCAGGTGCTGGATTCGTTTCTGGATCTTCTGAGGTCAGACCCCGCCCGGGCAGGGGATTGGGGGGGGGCAGCGGGAGGCGGCATGTTGGGTGCCGTGGCCACGTGGTTGGGGCCGGAGCGGGGTTGGGGGGGTGTTTAGGTAAACGAGACGACGGCGGCGGGGGGGGGGGGGTGTTGCGTGTGGCGCTCTGGCCTCTGGGAAGAGTTGAGAAAGACTCGTGGGGAACGGGACTTCTAAACTTGGGGGACTTGGGCACATCAGCAGGGTCCTAAATGAGAGCGGTAGGCAAGGGAGTCTTATGGAGGCAGCCGGAGAGGGTCTCACGGGGCCTGGGGAGAGAAACAGCGTCCCCCCATCTGGAGAGCAGCACGGGGCATGTGGGCCCAGGGCAGCAGCCGCCTGCCCACTGGATGGGGCTTCTGGGGGCTGGGATCAGAGGACTTGAGCCCTCCTTCTGTCCCCCGGAGGTCCTGCGGGGCCGAGGGGATCCCAGTAGCCCTGTGCTCCCTCCCCACCGCAGGGCTGCCCAAGCCACGTGTCCCCAGGCCCAGCCACGGTCTTTCTCAGCCTCTTCCCTGCGGGGTGCACCCGGGGCCCCGCCACTTCCCCTTTCTGTCTCCCAGGTCAGCCCAGCTTCCCGCCCCCTCCCCCCTTCTCAGCTCACTTCCGACCTGCTCCGGACCACCCACCAGCAGGCTGCCCCGAGCGGGCTGGTCAGCTAGGGGGAGCAGGCTAGTTTTTCTTCTTCCCGCCTTCTTTTGAGGTGGGTAGATTGCGGGGTGCACATGGCCCCCACCTTTGCGACCTCTGATTCATCGCCTTCCTGGAAACCGAGGCAAGAAATGATGAGTCAGAGTAGGGCTTCCCCGCTTGGGGGGCAGCAGCAGCGATGGCTGAGATGGGGGACTCAGGGCGCCTCGGTGTCCAGGGTGGCAGTGGGTGGGCAGCTCCTGGCCCTGGAAGATTAGCGGGACCGGCCCAGCAGGCGGGCACACCCACTCCAGGGCTGTTGATGTGCACGGCTGTCCCCACCCTGTCTCCGGGTTCCAAAACAGCTGTAAGTTACCCACAGCCGGCCACTCAGGGGCGGAGCTGTAACATCTCACTGTCACACGCCCTATGGCCAAGGGACACGAGAGACACGCAGGCACCAGGTCACTCAGCCGCCGCTGCAACATCTCACACACACACACACACACACACACACACGGCCTCTACACCAGCTGTCCCCTCCCTTCCACCACCAACACCAACACCGGGTCCCTTGTTAGCACAGCTGCCCCCTGGTGCCACAGCGGCTCTAGCGCTCAATACCAGTGTACTTGGAAAAGCTGACTTGTGCGTCCATGACCTTTTAAAACATGTTGCATTTATGCGAGAGGCAGACAGGTCTTCCATCTGCTGGCTCCCTCACTCCCCAAATGCCCACAGTAGCCAGGGCTGGGCCAGGCCAAAGCCTGGAGCCGGAAGGAGCTCCAGCCAGGTCTCCCACGTGGGTGACAGGGACTCGGTTGCTCCAGCTGTCACTGCTGCCTCCCAGGGTGTCCATTAGCAGGAAGCTTGCTTTCTTTCTTTTTTTTTAAGGTTTATTTGTTTATTTGAAAGTTGGAGTTACACAGAGAGAGAAGGAGAGGCAGAGAGAGAGAGAGAGAGAGAGAGGTCTTCCATCCGCTGGTTCACTCCCCAACTGGCCGCAACAGCTGGAGCTGCACCGATCTGAAGCCAGGAGCCAGGAGCATTTTCTGGGTCTCCCACATGGGTGCAGGGGACTAAGGACTTGGGCCATCTTCCACTGCTATCCCAGGCCATAGCAGAGAACTGGATGGGAAGTAGAGCAGCTGGAACTCGAACCAGCGCCCATATGGGATGCCGGCGCTGCAGGCCTGGGCTTTTACCTGCTTTGCCGCAGCGCCGGCCCCTGGGCAGTGTTTTAACTGCTGCTCCACAACGCTGGCCCCGGCCCATGAACCTTTTGAAGTGCCTGGCACACACACACACCCCTGTGTGTCCTCGCCTCTTCAGTACACACCCGTCCGTCAATGTCCTCCCTCCCCCCTCCGCGGGGCACATGGCGTGGCCAGCACTGACGCTGTCTCATCCACAGCCCAGCCGGATCCCCGCACTTGACAAGCTGCGTGCTGATGTCTCCCTTAGGGCTACGGTTGGGGCTACCCTGGCTGGGTTTGAATCCCAGCTCCCTGTGTCCTATGGCCCGATTTCCCCTCTGTGCCTCGGCATCTTCTTCTGTGAAATGGGCTCGCAGTGTTTATCCCCAGTGTGGTGGATTAAGTGGGTTCCCTTCTACAAAGCCCCTGTCCGCAGGCCTGGCTCAGACAGGCGTGGTGGGTGGGTGAGCTGCTATTTTTACTTCGTGGCACACCGCGTGGCCGTGCAAACACAGACGGCATTGACGACGCAAGCAGCCATCCCTGCCACTCCTCTCTGCCTCTCCCCACTGCTGCCCAGCGCCGCCCAGGTCTCCTGCACACCCTCTGACCACCAGCCAGCCACCTGGGGACCTGGCTTTTCTCAGCCTTCCAGGAGGAAGTGGCTGATGCAAGACAGCCAGGGTGTTGAGTGTGCTCCCGGGTAGGGCTGAGGCCCGTCCTGCCCCCATCCCAGCCTGCCTCGGGAGACTGGCTGTCCTCGTCCCCAGCCCGCCACCCCTGGGGGGCTTGGGGCTGGAGGAAGCTGGCTCAGCCATCCGTACCCGGCAAAGGTGTAGGCTTAGGTCCAGCGTTGGCTCAGGTGTGGTGGGGGTGGGTTTGGGTGCTCATGGGACCTCCGGGAGGCCAGCCTCGCCCCCTAGGGCCGCCCGCCTGCCCTGTGGGCTCTAATAACTCCCCACTGCCTCTTTCCACAGAAATATCTTTCCCTCCAACCTGGTGTCTGCAGCCTTCCGTTCTGTGAGTTCTCCTGAGGGTTTCAGGGGGTGGGGCGGGCAGGAGGGAGGCAGCCAATCACAGGCCGTGCTGCCTGATTTTTTTTTGGGGGGGGAGGTGCCTGGGAAAATGGCCACATGTTGGGGGTGACATTGGTGGGTCCCCGGGTGGCCTCAGAGCCCGGCTGCGTGACCCCGGGCCGGTGCCGCTGCCCCTCTCAGCCTCGGCTTCCATCTCTGGGACATTGGGGTGTTACTAGGGCTGGCTCAGTGTTTAAGGGGTGCTCGGGTAGGTTTGGGGCTCTGTGGACGGGCCTCGGGGTTGCTGGGTGACAGTCATCTCTCCTCTTTCTGCCCCGCATGCAGTACTCCACCTCCTATGAGGAAAAGAATTTCAATGGGACCCTGGTGAAGGTGAGAGCCGGGAAGAGCCCCCCCCCCGCCCCCGGGCCCCTTGTTGCTGGCTTTTCAGTGTCGCTCTGGACCCAGCGCTGTCTGCCTCCCCTCCTAACGTTTCAGTGTGGAATTTGCTTTCAACGTGGCCGTCATTCCTTCCCTAGCTGTGGTTCTTCCCGCCTTCGGGAAATGTCTCTGCTTTGCTCCTGTTCCTCCCCACGGCCCTGGCTCCTGGCCCCAGCCCACGCGGGGTCGGACCCCCGCCCAGCCTCCTCTGTAGCTCTTCCCAGCTCTTTCCTCCGTGGCCACGGTAGCTATCCTACATTTCCAGGCTTTGCACATTCTGTTTCCTCTCCAGAACCTTCCAGGTCCCTCGTTACCTGCTTCACCCCCTCCTGTCCTCCGAGTCTCAGCTCAGATGCCCCTTCCTCCGGGAAGCCCTACCTGACTTCTCATTCCCCAAGCTGGCACTCCTTCTTGGGCTCCCCAGTTCCAGCCCTGTCCACTCAGGATCATCCCTGGTGACCGGTCTGTGTATGGGGTTTGGGGAGGAAGGGGTCCAGGGAGCTGGGGGCCCGGGCAGTGCTCGGGATGGGCCTTGGTGACTGTGGGCTGCCTGCCTGTCCTGTGTGCTTCCCCAAAGGTGCCCGTGGGACACGAGGAGGAAGGCATGAATATTCTGGGGCTGGTGGTGTTCGCCATCGTCTTCGGCGTGGCCCTGCGGAAGCTGGGCCCCGAGGGCGAGCCCCTCATCCGCTTCTTCAACTCCTTCAATGACGCCACCATGGTGCTGGTCTCCTGGATCATGTGGTAGGTGGGGGCCAGCGGCGTGAGACTGCTGTGGGCAAGTGACTCACCTGCTCCGTGAGGGCCACGCTGTGTTCCACGGGGGCCAGGAACCTGATGTTGGCACCTGTTGGATCTTACTGGGGGGTGACAAAAGATGGCCATGGTGTGACCACGGTGTGGCCACCGCCCAGTAAACACATCTGCATTTCACAGAGCCCTTCCTAGGCTTATGCGGAGAGAAGGAGGGACAGCGAAAGGGCTTAGCAGGTGTGTGGGGCAGCGGTGGCTGTGGCAACTGTTAAGTGACTGACCCCAGATAGTGAGAAGGGCACATGGGCAGAGGCTGCTGGTACCCCTGCCCCAGCCCCGCCTCCACTCCGTCTCTCTGATTTTTCTTTTTTAAAGACTTATTTATTTATTTGAAAGGCGGTGTTACACAAAGAGAGAAGGAGAGACAGAGAGAGAGAGAGAGAGAGAGAGAGAGAGGTCTTCCATCCACTGGTTCACTCCCCAATTGGCCACAATGGCTGGAGCTGTGCCGATTGAAAGCCAGGAGCCCGGAGCTTCTTCTAGGTCTCCCACACGGGTACAGGGGCCCAAGGACCTGGGCCATCTTCTGCTGCTTTCCCAGGCCACAGCAGAGAGCTGGATTGGAAGTGGAGCAGGGGGGTCTTGAACCAGTGCCCATATGGGATGCTGCGGCTTCAGCTACACCACAGCGCCAGCCCCTCCCTGATTCGTAGAACTTCCCTTTAGAAAGAGTCACACCCAGGAGAGCGCCTTTGGTTGCTCCTTCCTCTTTGCCCTTTTTAAAAAATTTATTCCAAAAGCAGAGAGCTGGAGGTAGAGACAGAGAGATCTCCCCCCTCTGGTTCACTCCCCAAATGCCAGCAGCAGCCACAACTGGGCCCAGCCAAAGCCAAGAACTGAGAACCCCATCTGGGTCTCCCGAGTACCGGAGCCATCGGCTGCACCTCCCAGTGGAATCAGGAACGGTGCTGGCACGGGGACTCCAGCACGCTCGGCTGGAGAAGCCGGGGGTGGGGTGGGGAGTAGCGCTCGGCTGCCTGGTGCCCACCCCCCATGCTGCTGCTTCCCAGCCGCGTGCTGCACCACACGTTACTCAGCCTTCTCATGCCTCAGTTTCCCCACCTGGACAACAGGGTGCACAGGGCCAACCTGGAGGGGCTGCCGCCGGGCACGAGTGAGTTAGTGCCTGTGTATCCTTGGGGCAGCGCCTGCCCTATAGCATGCAGACCGTAAAGAGAGCCAGCCAATGTTTGTTGAAGGCGCTTGGCTTGTGTGATTTGCGGGCTCGGCGCACCTGCCACACCCAGATGCACAGGTGGCTGCTGGGAAAGGGGGTGCCTTCTGAGGCTCATGGGAAGGGCTGAGGAGACAGCTGCCGTGGCCTCCGCAGTCAGTGGAGACGATCTTGGCGGGGTCCTGACCTAGGGACTTCAGCACTCCTGGGAAGCTTCTCCAGGACAGGGTGGTAACTACCCCCCCACACCCACCCTGAGGTTTATAGATCACTTATTGTGTACAAAGATCTTTCGGCTCGTTTCCCGTGAGCTCTCGTTCTACCCTGCTCGTGTTCTGGTCCCTGCATACCAACCTGTTCCTGTCCATTTTTTTAAAAAAAAGGTTTATTTTTATTGAAAAGCAGTTACAGAGAGGGAGAGGCAGAGAGAGAGAGAGAGAGAGAGAGAGGTCTTCCATTCACTGGTTCACTCCCCAAATGGCTGCAACAGCCAGGGCTGGAGCTGGGCCAAGGCGAAGCCAGGAGCCAGGAGCTTCTTCTGGGTCTCCCACACGGGTGCAGGGGCCCAAAGACTTGGGCCATCTTCTGCTGCTTTCCCAGGCCACAGCAGAGAGCTGGATGGGAAGTGGAGCAGCCGGGATACGAACCAGCGCCCATATGGGATGCTGGCACTGCAGGCGGCGGCTTTACCCGCTACGCCACAGCACCAGCCCCTCCTGTCCAATTTATTTGAAAGGCAGAGTTACAGAGCAGGAGAGACAGAGGTCTTCCATGTGCTGATTCACTCCCCAAACAGCTGCAATGGCCAGAGCTGGGCCAGGCCAAAGCCAGGAGCCTGGACCAGCATCCGGGTCTCCCACATAAGTGGCAGGGGCCCACACACTAGGGCTGTCTGCTGCTGCCTTCCCAGGCGCGTCAGCAGGGAGCTGGAAGTGGGGCAGCCGGGACTCGAACGGGCGCCCTCGTGGGATGCCGGCCGCTTCTCTCCTTGCTGCCTGGAGGACCTGCTGTGGACTGTGCCTGAGCTCGGGGAGCCTGGGGAGTGTGGGCAGGCAGGTGCCGTGGGCACGTGGTCAGGGCCGTCTGCGTCCTGCATGGCAGGTACGCCCCCGTGGGCATCTTGTTCCTGGTGGCCAGCAAGATCGTGGAGATGGACGACGTGGGCGTGCTGTTCGCCAGCCTGGGCAAATACATCCTGTGCTGCCTGCTGGGCCACGCCATCCACGGGCTCCTGGTGCTGCCGCTCATCTACTTCCTCTTCACCCGCAAGAACCCCTACCGCTTCCTCTGGGGCATCCTGACGCCGCTGGCCATGGCCTTTGGGACCTCTTCCAGGTGAGCCAAGCCGGGGGGCATGGAGTGGGCGCCGGGTGTTGGAAGAGACCCCTGTTGGGGAGACAGGACCAGGGGTCCCTGAGCCTCTCCTTTTGTTCTGTAAAAAGCCCCAAGGACACGGGAGGGGGACAAAGGCTTGGCTGGCCGGAGAACCCAGAAGCATCTCCCCAGATCCCGGCCCCTGAAAGCTGGGAGGCGTGAGGGTGGTCCGGTGGATGGGCGGGGCTCCAGCGGTGGGCGGGACCTCGGCGGTGGGCGGGGCCAGACCAGCCTTGCCCCTGCTGACCCGCAGCCTGTGCCCCGCAGCTCGGCCACGCTGCCGCTGATGATGAAGTGCGTAGAGGAGAGGAACGGCGTGGCCAAGCACATCAGCCGCTTCGTGCTGCCCATCGGGGCCACGGTCAACATGGACGGCGCGGCGCTGTTCCAGTGCGTGGCCGCCGTGTTCATTGCGCAGCTCAACCGGCAGTCGCTGGACTTCGTGAAGATCATCACCATCCTGTGAGCGCCGCGGGGGGCGGGGCTGCGGCTGGGACCTCCCTTGCAGCACCAGACCCGCGGTGGGGACGAGTCCCTGACCGCCCCGCCCCCGCTCTGTCCTCCCCAGGGTCACGGCCACGGCGTCCAGCGTGGGGGCTGCCGGCATCCCGGCGGGAGGCGTCCTCACTCTGGCCATCATCCTCGAAGCGGTCAGTCTCCCCGTCAGCGAGATCTCCTTGATCCTGGCCGTGGACTGGCTGGTGTGAGTGTGGGCTGGGATTCGGGGTGCGGGGGGGGCACCCTTGGGAGGGGGTGGGTGGAGCTTTAGAGGAAAGGGTGGGGTCTTGAGCATCCCGGCAGGAGGGAGGGGTGGCGGCTTGGGGGGTTCTGAGAGCCGCCGAGAAAGGGAGTGGCCCCCGGGGATAACCAGGCCTCTGCCATGGCGGCGTGCTCCGAGCCGTGTCCCCGCGAGAGGCTCACCTAGACACTTGCGAGCGCCCGCCGCAGCTCTCTTAGGGGCGTGGGTGGCCCCTCGGCGGGGCGATCAGCTGCGGGCTTTTAGAAGGGTGGATTTGGGGACGCTGGGAGACTTCTGGGGCCCTGGGGTTTAGAAGGAAGGGGGCTTTGGCAGGGTGAGCTCCGTGAAGGAGGGTGGTGGGCGCCTCCGGATTCCAGAGGGAGACAGGCAGGAGGCTGGGGCCTGGGCTCCTGCCCCACCCCCACCCCCGTCTCGCCCTGCCCACCCCTCAGGGACCGGTCCTGCACCATCATCAACGTGGAAGGGGACGCCTTTGGGGCCGGGCTCCTGCAGCACTACGTGGACCGCACGGAGCAGCGGGGCTCGGAGCCCGAGCTGACCCAGGTGAAGAGTGAGGTGCCCCTGGGCTCACTGCCCGCCCCCAACGAGGAGGGGAACCCCCTCCTGAGACACAGCCCGGGGGCTGCCGGGGACGCTGGCGCCTGCGAGAAGGAGTCTGTCATGTGAAGTCCCCTGCACCGCTGGGCACTGGACACCAGGACCACAGGGATGGGTAAACGGACACACCGGGCTCCCGGGGACGGGAGACGTGGAGGTCTCGCTGCCGGCGTGCGTGTGTGTCCCCGTGGGCCCCAGTCCCGGCCCACACCCCAGGACCACGCGCAATTCTGGGGAAGGGTGTTCCTGGAGGCTGCTGGCCTGGGGCTGGCCGCAGCTCTGTGTGTGTGTGTGTGTGTGTGTGTGTGTGTGTTTGTCTGACCCTCCTCCCCACGGTACGTCCCAGCCCGGCCCTGGCACACACACACCCAGGAGCCCAGGCGGCCGGCCAAGGATGCTACTGCTGCAGCCGCCACGATTCAGCAATAAAACCGAGTGTCGCGTGTAATTCTGTCAGACGTTTTTGAGGACTTGACTGAAGGCAAACACAGCCCAACACCTGTCATTCATGGAATGCCCTTGGGAACCGTGAGACGCCACCGCGGAATGGCCAAAAGCCAAAACAAGGCCTTGCGCGAGCACGGACTTGGTAGAGCCGGTGGATTCTCGGGCATCGCAGGAATACGGCACGGTCCTCTCCCTAGGAAAACAGCTGGGCAGTTTCCTTTCCTTTCCAGATTTTACTTTTGTGGATTTGAAAGGCTCGGCAACAGAGAGCGAGAGAGTGAGAGCAAGAGAGCGAGAGAGCGAGAGAGCGAGAGCGCTTCCATCCGCTGGTTCAACCCCAGTTGGGGCTGGATCAAGCTGAAGCCAGGTGTTAGGAGTTTCATCCGGGTCTCCCACGTGGGTGCAGGGACCCGAGCACTTGGGCCATCGTCCACTGCTTTCCCAGGTGCGTTACCAGGAAGCTGGATTGGAAGTAGAGCAGCTGGGACTCGAACTCGTGATCCAGGGGATGTCGGAGTTGCAGGCAGCGACTCAACCCGCTACGCCATGATGCCCGGCCCCTCGCTCTCTGTTTTTGAAGCCCCAGATTGGCTGTGGGACCACTGTGAGGTCCTCTGGAGGTCCAGGGGGTGGAGCCTGTCGCAGCCCCTTCTTGCCTGTCTTGTGCATTGCTGATGCGTGCCAGATGTCATAGGTGTCATTGTCCCCTCCCCTGGGGCGACTTCTGCCTGAAGCCTGGAGGTGCTACGGACCCCAGCCCAGTTAGGGACAGACCCCAGCCCAGTTAGGGAGCTCGCACACATTCGGTGTCTCCTGTTTTGGTTACCCCCCGTGGTCGCTGCAGGATGCAAGGCGAGCCTGGTGCATAATGTGCTTCTGTGTTGCCCAAACAGAGCCGCTAATGAGTCTGCTAAATATTGAATAATTGCATCGTTTGTGCTTCTAAAAACTTGTTATTGCTGCATAATAACCCTGGGGCTGCTCTGTGGGTATTTTAATTCTCAGGGAAATTGGATGAGGCAGGCAAGTGCTTTATTTTCTGACTTCAAATGGCGGTTTCTCTTGGGGAGGGTTCTGGTGCGCAGCTAGGTCGCTGCCCGGGCACCCACATGCCACATCGGAGCGCCTCACTCGAGCCCTGGCTCTGCTCCTGACCCCAGCTGCCAGGGAAGCCCACGTGCCTGGGTCCCTGCCGTAGACCCAGTGTGGGGTCCCCGCTAGAGCTCTGGGCTGCTGACTTGCAGGCATCTGGGGAGTGAACCAGTGGATGGAGGGTCTCTCCCCCCGTGGCTCCCCATCTTTCAAATAAAATAAACAGCCCGGCACTGTGGCGTAGTTGGCTGAGCCTCCGCCTGCGGCGCTGGCATCCCATATGGGTGCTGGTTTGAGTCCAGGCTGCTCCTCTTCTGACCCAGTCTCCTGCTGTGGCCTGGGAAAGCAGTGGAAGATGGCCCTAGTGCTTGGGCTCCTGTATCCGCGTGGGAGACCCAGAGGAAGTTCCTGGCTTCAGATCGGCACAGCTCCAGCCATTGTGGCCATCTGGGGAGTGAACCAGCAGATGGAAGGCCCTTCTCTCCCCCTCTCTCTGTAACTCTGCCTCTTAAATAAACAAATCTTTTAAAAATGAAAACAAATAAGAATTTTCTAAAAAACAGCAGCCTATCAAAAAAAAAAAAAAAAAAACACATGCTGTTTCACACTCCTTGCAGTGGGTTAGCTTTGGCGAATGGGGGCCTCTGGCTGTAGATGTGGACCTGTGCCTGTAATCTGGTACAAACAGCCCATGCGATGTGTGTGCACACAGAACTGACACACACCCCACCCAGTAGCGCTGACTCCACTTCTCCCATTCCTTTTTAGAATCGTGCTAAGCACCCCCCCCCATTTGCTTACCATGCTGATCAAGGTCACACAGAGACCCGGAACCACCTCCTGGTCCTGCACGTGGGCCGTCTCAGCCCTTCTCAGCTGCTGAGTCATTGTTCTCACGACGAGCAGTGTGCACGTGTATTCATTTTTTATATATATACTTTAGAGATCTTGCATCCTGTGGTTCATTCCCCAAATGGCCACAGTGAGCAGGGCTGGGCCAAACTGAAGCCAGGAGCCAGGAGCTTCCTCGGGGTCTCCCACGTGGGTGCAGGGGCCCAAGGACCTGGGCCATCTTCCACTGCTTCCCCAGGACACAGCAGAGAGCTGGATCGGAAGTGGAGGAGCCGGGATTCAAACCCGCGCCCATATGGGATGCCGACACTGCAGGTGGCGGCTTTACCCGCTACACCACAGCAGCGGCCCCCTGCATATATTTTTTTTTTAAAATAGCTCTTGGAGACCGGGAGGCAGTTCTTACGATATTTGATTCCCATTTTCTTTTTAAATTTCTATTATTTGAAAGGCAGAAAGCTGCCATCCACCGGACCGCTCACGAAGGCCCACAGAGCTCGGTCACTGGAGCCCTCCCGCTGCCTCCCCGGGTCTGCGTCGGCAGGACGCTGGGTCGGGAGCAGGGCGCCCACCGGGCACCCCAAGGCGGAACGTGGCCTTCACCGCCAGGCCACGACACAGAACGGTGAGGCCCCTGCCCCAGGGCAGCCGGGATTCGGCTCCTGCAGCCGGACGAGCAATCCACACGGAAGCCCCCGCTTGTCCGTCGCGGTTACAGCTGCAGGCAGCACCCGTGCTGGACAGAGCAGCATCTGGGCTAAAGCTTCCCACTGGGGGGCGGGGCACGGGGATTGCAACCATTTTGCCAAAGTCAAGCTTTTCCAAGGCAGCAGCAGAGGCAAGCCCCAGCCGGCGCACAGCTCGCTTCATCGCCGGGAATCGGCCTGAAGCACCGTGTTCTCTGGGTGCCCCCCACCCCGGAATCCCACAGCGTCGTCCCCAGTCCCGGCCTCCTCGGTCTGTTCCCCACACGACCGCCAGAGGGCGCGCTGGCTCCTCTGCGCCGAGACCTCCCTCCAAGCAAAGTGCTCGCCCCGGGCGGCCTGGCCATGCGTGGGAGCTGTGCCTGGCCGGTCCACGCGGCCACAGCCTTCACCGCGTCCCGCAGGGTCTCCCTGCCTGCTCACTGCAGCCAGGAGGCAGGAGCTCCATCCAGGGCTCCCACATGGGTGGCCGAGGCCCAGACACTTGGGCTGTCTTCTGCTGTGTCCCAGTGTGTGCGGTAGCCGGGCGCTGGCTTGGAGGTGGAGCAGCTGGAACCAGAGCTGGCACTCCCCGTGGGCCGCAGGCCTTCCGGGTGGAGGCCTCACCCGCTGCCCCACCGTGCCCACCCTGATCGCAAGGCTTCTTATTCGCTGATTTCCTATGCTTCCTGCTCCATGCCTGGGGCCAGCAACATCTTGTTCACTGCTGTATGCCCTGAGTGCACACAGTAGGAGCCCAATACGTGCTTATAGAACGGACGACTACATCGGGCTCCGGCCTCAGAGCTGCCTGGCTGCGTGGCGGGGCTGCCAGCTGTGTGGCCTTGGGGGAGGGCAGCCACGCCTCACCCGCTGGTGACAATGGCTTGGTTGTGCCTCACCCAAAGGCCACCAGTTTACATAAGAGCAGGAGGGAACGCCCCTCCCTGCCACTCATCCCTTCCTCCCTGCCCTCCCCCAGTGCCCTCGACAGCTGGCGCTGGGCTGGGCGAGGCCAGGAGCCCTCAGGATCTCCCCTGGGAGAGGGAAGCGCAGGTTCTCAGGCGGCTGGATCGGAAGCGGAGCAGCCCGGTGCGGGGCGTGGGCTTCGCAAGTGGCTGCTCCACCTGCGGGTTTGTGGTTTAGCCGTTTGCCCGGCCACACCAGCGTGCGCACGCTGGCTCCAACACCGGCTCCGAGAGTGCCCTCACTCTCTTGAAATGAAGTTCAAGGACGGTGCCACCCACTCGCACACGATTTTAGAAGCAATACCCTTATGGCCCCGGACAGTGAGGTAGACTGTGCACTTGAACACGCAAGCACGTGGGACTGTCTCCCCGGCACCCACAGTGGATGGGAGCCCGTGGTCTCCAGGAGCCGCGGGCAGCGTGAGTTTTCCGGCCAAGTTTTGAACAACACGCGACACAAGCTTCCCCTGTTTTACAGGCAGGTGCACTTCTGGGGAATGCGGGGGCCATGCAAGCCGGCAGGAGGACTTCGTGTTTACGACTCGGGGCTGGCCGCCGAGCTCGGAAAGCGAGGGACGGGGTGTCCGCCTCCAGGCCGGGCTGCAATCCGGCAAGTCTGCACTGGCAGCAAAAATTCTCGGCGCGGGTCTTACAGCGTTTTAGGTCCCGCAAAGGATTTCAACAACATGCAGGGCGGAACCCACACGATTTCAGGGGAGGCCCGGCCGGGAACTCTTTTCCCCCCTCAAGGCTTCCCGCCCCGGCGAAAGAAAACTTTCCGCCGGCGTGGAAAAACCTACAGGGAGCCTGTTTCCTTTCACCCTTAGCCCGGAGGGAGGGAGAACAGGGGAAGCTGCCCCCGCCCCCCCCCCCCCCCACACACAACAGGAAATCGTAAGAGAAATTCTCTATGGAGACCTCGGGTTACCCAGAGAGCCCCCCCCGGAAGGTTCTGGAAGCCTTCGGCGAGGCTGTTGCTGGCGTCCGTTGCGCCAACACTTTCCGAATACAACAAAATCCTTACAACAGCCTGAACAGGAGTCCTTATGCACTTGTTTGTAATCATATTTATCTTTATTTCAAAAGCACAGCAAGGAAGGGAGGGAGGGAGGGAGGCAGGGAGGGAGGGAGGGGCGCGAAAAGATGGCGAATTTCACCAACCGCTGGTTCCCTCCCCAGGTGGCCACAATGGCTGGGTTGGGCCAGGCCAGAGCCAGGAGCCAGGAACCCCATCTGGGTCTCCCGCGTGGATGGCAGGGGGTCCAGGGACTCGGGCCATCCTCCACTGCTTTTTCAGGTGCATTAGCAGGGAGCTGGATCAGAAGTGGAGCAGCCGGGACTCGAACTGGTGCCCGTATGGGCTGCTAGTGCTGCAGGCGGTGGCTTAACCCACTGCACCACAGTGCCGGCCCCATGAAAACGAGGTGCCTCAGCTTACATTCTTGGCAAATAAATAAATAAATAAATAAAATATATACGTGTGTGCATGTGTCATGCTCTTGGATTACCTAGAGAATAAAAGAAACGTCCTTACAAATGTCAGGCGTGTATGGCTGTGTGTCGATTCGTGGCCGCACCAATCACTCTGTTTCCCGGCTGTCACCGTTCCTTCCTGAATGTCCCGTGTCTTCCTGCGGGCCAGGGCTGCTGCTTGGCAGAGTGTGGGGGAGTGGCCTGCGTGTGGTCAGACACGTGTCCCCCTGCATCCTGCCCAGGCACAAGGCTAACCCCAGGGACCCTACCCCCCCCCCCCACATCGCTGGAGGCCTGCCAGTCCCTTTCTGGACCACCTGTGGCTTCCGTGGTTGAAAGCAGCGGCCTGGTGACGAGGCTACCCCAGCCGCAGGAGGTGGCACCGTGTATTCCTCTTCTGGGCCATGGGCTGTTCTGAGTCAGGGTGCGGCCACCAGGGGTTGGCACTGTGGCCCAGCAGGCTGCACGGCTGCTCATGGAGCCACCAGTATCCAGTATCAGAGAGCCAGTTCGAGTCCCAGCTGCTCCGCTTCTGATCCGGCTCCCTGCTAACGCGCCCTGGGAGGCAGCAGGTGAGGGCTCAAGCACTTGGGTGGAGCTCCTGGCTTTGGCCTGGCCCAGCCCTGGCCATTGTGGCCATTTAGGAAGCGAACCAGCAGGTGGAAGACCTCTCTCTGTGATTCTGCCCCTCAAATAAATAAAACACATCTTTTCAAGGAAGTGATACTAATGAAGTGGAAACCGTCCTTGGAATTTTGCTCTTTCCCTGGGCTATAGACACGGACTCGATCGTCTCTCGAGACGGCGAGGCCAGGAAGGTGAGGTGTGGACATGCACTCACGGGGTATTTTCCACTAACCGTGGGGCTGCCAGGACAGAGCCCTACCTACGCTGAGTGTCACCTACAGCACCAGTCACCCCAGCTGGTAGGCTCGGTGAGGGGGCAGCGGCTTGCCTAAGTCTTCAAGAAAATGAGTGGCCGGGACAGACCCAGTCCCAGCCCCTGCTCCGGGCCTTTGACCGCTGAACTGCAACAGCCCAGCTGGAGGAACCCACGTGCTCTTAGTTTTTTATTAGTTTTTTTAGAAATGTGAGAGGCAGAGGGAGACAGAGCTCCTATTTGCTGTTCACTCTACATGCCCATGGTTGGTGCCAGCAGCTCCGTCCAGGCCTCCCCCAGGGGTGGCAGGAACCCCACACTTGAGCCCTCACCCACCTGCTGCCCCCTGGGGTCTGCGTTAGCAGGAAGCTGGAGCCAGCAGCCGGGGCCGGGACGCAAACTCGGGCTCTCTGCCACGGGACAAGGGTGTCTCAATCTGTGTCCTAACCACCAGGCCAAGTGCCTGCCTGTCCTTCTTAAACCTAAAAAGGTCTATTTTATGTATTTGAAAGGCAGAGTGACAGAAGGAGAACCAGAGAAACATTCCATCTGCTGGCTCACTCCCCAAGTGGCTGCAACAGCCAGAGCTGGGCCAGGCCGAAGCCAGCAGCCAGGAGCTCCATCCGGGTCTCCACGTGGGTGCAGGGGCCCAAGGACTGGGGCCATCCTCTGCTGCTGTCTCGGGTGCATCAGCAGGGAGCTGGATGGGACTCGAGCCACTGCCCGGATGTAGGACCCACAGTGCCACAGCGCCGGCCCCGCCCCTCCCCACGCTTTGTAGCCCCATGGCTCTGAAAGCCAGGCGCACGCGCTCAGGGATGGACAGAACAGGCCCCTGGGATGAGGCGAGAGACCCTGACCGGCTCTGTACATGCTTGCTTTTTATTTTCCATTGAATAATTTAAGCCGTTGACTAAGCGGTCTGACAGCAGTACCCGCACAGAATTCATCAGTACACACACATCCCCTGGAGTCCTGGGCAACCGCTGTGCTGTCGGGTGCCGCCCCCCGCCGCGGCCCTGGGGGGGGGGGGGCGGGTTCGCGGCCCCAACCTGCCCTTCCTAGGCTCTCTCACCACTCTGGCCTCGGGTCCTGTGTTTGTAAAATGGAAACAAGAGCAGCTGCCCCTGGGCAGGGTTCAGCGGAAGCCTCCGTTGCTTAACCCATGTGGAGCCCGAGAATGGTGCCGGGCACCCAGCGAGTGCTCGGTAAGTGAGCTGTAATTACTGTGTGCCCTTCCTGGCCGGAGGGGAAACAGGTGCACAGAGCTGAAATAACGAGGTAATAATGTAATGACAGGGGCCCGGATCCAGGACCTGGCCCCACCGCGGCGGCGCCTTAGAGCTCGGAGCCCGCCCCGCACGGCTCCCGCGCCGAGATCCCCGAGGGAGGGAGGTGGTCACCGCCGTCCTGGGCCCCACGGAGGCCTGGACAGAAGACCACAGCCTCCGAGGCCCTGGGTTCGCGGCCCCGGCAGTAGGACAGGCGCGCCCCCTAGCGGCGATAGAGACCCAGTCGCCGGAGTCCCGGGAACGCCCCCGCCAGCCGTCGGGGGTGCCCTAGGCCCCAAGCGCCCGGTCTCTTTGCAAAACTCCGCCCCGGCTCCTGGAGTACCCGGCGGGACCCACCTCTAGGGTCCGAGATGGCCCTGGGCCCTGCAGGTCAGCTCGGAGTCCCCGGATCTGTCCACCAAATGCCAGCGGCCCCCTCAATCTCTAGGAAGCCCCTCCCCGGATGGAGAACCTCGCGACGTGGCCCCCATCTTGGGCCTAACCTGCCTCCCGCAGAAGCGGGCTCACCTTTCTCCGCTGGGCCCCCGCCCCCTCTCTGCGCGCACACCCACAGCCCCACCACCTGGCAAGCAAAGCGTCTTCACGCAGCTGCGGGCGCCCAGACGTCCCTGGCCCCGGGGCTTCAGCTGCTTCCCGGCAGGCTCAAGAGCGCTGGGTTGGGGTACTCGGGGTTCTCGATGACGCCGGGCCCGAACTTGAGCTCCAGGAAGCGCCGGTAGTTGTTGGGCGCCTGCGCCACGAAGCCCGCAAAGGACAGCGGCACCAGCGGCTGCAGGAAGTGCTCCGGGAACTCCACGTCCTGCCGGTGGTCCAGCCACGTGTCCTTGGTCATGACCCCGTTGCGGGGGTAGAAGGGCCACAGGTCCACGTGCAGGTGGTTGCTCTCGCTGTACTGCACGCGGAAGAAGTCGCCCTCCACGGCCTTCTCCCACACGAAGCCCCGCTCGTCCACCACTGAGCCGGCCTCGGCGCCCCGCAGCTGCTCGCAGCTGCCCACGTCCTCCAGGTAGATGCCCAGGTCCACGTCGTAGTCCCACGGGATGATGTCGCCGTGGCGCGCCGCCCCCAGCAGCGAGCCGCCCTCCAGCCAGTAGCGCACGCCGGCCGCCTCCAGCACGCCCACCACGTAGCGGGCGGTCTCCCGCAGCGCGCGCAGGCAGCACGGGGGCGTCCAGCGCCCCTCGTACAGGTAGGACGGCGTGTCGCCCACCACCGTCCCGAAGCAGCGCGTCGTCTCCTTGCTGCAGCCGAACCACTCGAGCCGCCCGCCCTCCCAGCTCACCAGGCGGACGCCCAGCGCGCGCAGCAGCGCCGCCCGCCGCGCGCGCCCCTCGCGCTCCGCCTTCCAGCGCGCGTGCGCCGTGGCCAGCGGGGGCTGGCGCGCCGCGGCGAAGCGCAGGGGCAGCAGCTGCACCTGCCAGCCGCGCAGGGCGGTCTGCAGGAAGAGGCTGGTGCCCACCGGCCGGGCCAGCGGCGCCGAGAGGTTGAAGAGGTCGCGGGCGCGCAGGAGCACGACTGCGTCCCCGTCCAGGGCGTCGCAGCGGGGTGCGGCAGGCGCCGGGCCGTAGCGGGCCGTCCACTCACGCAGGCTGACGTTCAGGGCCAGGCACCGGGCGGGGTTGGCCGTGGCGACCGGGGCGGCCACCAGGCGCGCGCCCCCCAGCCGGAGAGCCTCCACCATGCGCTCCAGCTGGCCCGGGGTCTCAGCCCGCGTCCCATCGGGCACCACAGCCACGAATTCGGTGGCCACGTAGGTTTCCGGACGCGCCGCCGCCGCGGGCCGGTCCAAAGCGGGCTGGAGCAGCGCCAGCCGAACATTGGGGACGCGAGGCAAGGCCAGAGGCGGGTAGGGCAGCGTGTCGGCCACCACCACCACGGGCTGGGCCGGGTCCTGCTGCAGGAAGGAGTCCACCAGCTCGGGCACGGCGTTGTCAAAGGCCTCGAATTCCCGCACCAGGACGGTGACGCGGGGGCCAGTGGCGGCGGCGCGGCGCGGGCCCCGGCCCCGGGCGGCCCTGGGCTGGTGCTGCAGCCAGGAGACATAGAAGAGGACCAGCAGGTTGAGGGTGATGGCGGCTGCCAGCGCAGCCTGGCAGCGGGTGAGCCGCATGGGGCTGACGTCAGGCCCTCGCTGGGCCGCGGGGCATCCTGGGGAGGGAGAACAAAGGGGAAACTGGCGCTGGTAGTCCACCCGCACCTCTCCCAAGCCCTAGCCTCGCTATCCCCTTAGGCTCCCGCTCCCCCGTTTGGTTCAGCTCTGCCTTCCCTTCCTCCGGGAAGCCCTCCTTGACTTCGCAGGCCGGGCCATGCACACCGCGGGGTCCTTCAGGTCCCTGGCTCCCCCACCCCGGTCTGAGTTTCAGTCATCACTCATGGTGGCACCCAGGAGGGCAGGATCCAAGCTTCCAGCGCCACCCAGGACGGAGCCGGGGACACACTGGGTGTTCTGTGTTCTCTGATGGGCCTCTCCCCTTCTCCCGAGTTCAGTTCCACCCTCCCCTATCCACACTCCTTCAGCCCACTGGCACCTCCCTCTCATTCCCTCCTCCAGGAAGCCACCTCTGGTTTGTCCCTCCCACATCCTGGCTTCTGGATGGGGCCCATGCTGCAGCCCCCATGTTCCCCCCGGGGCAGGCATTGGTCCAGCAGGTGCACGCCTGGGACGCCTGCGGCCCATTTTGGCGGGGCCGGGTTTCAGCCCTGGCCCACTTCTCATTCCAGCTTCTTGCCAGTGTGCACCATCGGGGAAGCAGGTGAGAGCCCTGACCCTGCCCTCCCGGCCCTGCCCACTCTGGCTGGGGATGGACCTGTCGGTTCCCTAGACTGTGAGCCCTGGAGGGCACAGCCAGGGCTCTCTCCTCTGTCCTTTGCCCAGGGCCCGGCCCTGAGAGTGCACCTGATGACGACATGATGGCTGGGGCGGGCTTTCTCTGCATCTGTGAAGCCCACGCAGGTCCCCTGGAGCCAAGCTCTGTCTTAGCGCCATGTTCCCGGGCCCTGGCCTGGTCTTCTCGCTTTCTCGAATATCCCCCCCCGCCTCGGGTACCTGGGTTTCAGGCCCGGCTCTGCTCCCAAGTCCAGCTTCCAGACACACCCTGGGAGGGAGCAGGCCGTGGCTCAAGGAGTGGGGTCCCCGCCACCTGCGTGGGAGAGCTGGAAGGAGTTCCTGCCTACCGGCCTTGGACTAGCCCAGCCCCAGCTGTTGCGGGCCTCTGGGGCAGGGGGCCGGGTGGTGAACCAGCAGATGGACGCTCTCTGTCTGTCTGGATCTCTAACATAAATCAATTAAAAATAAGAGAGAAGACTCCAAGTTGCACTTCATGAGTAACTGCTGGGCGGACTCGGCTTGCCAAGTGGCTGAGATGCCCACATCCCATAGCAAGCACCTGGGTTGGAGACCACGCTCTGACAGGCAGCAGGTGATGGCCAAGTGCGTGGGTCCCTGACACACACACACAAGAGACCCAGATGGCGCTCCAGGCAACTGGCCCAGCTCCAGCTGCTGCAGGCACTCGGGGAGTGAACCAGCGGATGCAAGATCCACCTTGAAATCCACCTTTGGAATCAGTAAGTGAATTTTTTTTTCAAAGGCAACCTTGGAATTGCCTTCTGGGGCTCACACTGACCCCTCCTCTGGCTGATGGGCAGCGCGGACACAGAGACAGGGAGCAGCCCTCCGGGAGCTCCAACGCGGCGGGGTGGGAGCGGAGGCTCCACTCTCACTCTCCAACCACAGAATCCTCGGGCCCTGCTCCTACAGCCTGCTCCCTCTCGGCGCCCGGAAGGACCCTGGTGACACTGGGCTTAGCTCCTGTCCTCCCTCTGTGCGGCCCTGCCGTGACTCACGCCGCCTCCGAGGGGAACCGGGTACCCACGCCATGGCTCTGCCTGCTGGGGGGGCTCCAAAGCCCGCCACTGGGGCACGGGGCAGGGCAAGGGGATTCCGAGGCCCGACTGCTCCACGTCTCTCTGGGTCGGGAAGACGATGCCAGCAGTCCTGCCCGAGCTCTGGCCTGCTCTCGCTCACTGAATGCCCTCGTGCCATGATCACGTGGATAGGAGGACGCGGAGGCCTGGGGAGGTGTCGCGTGCTCAGGGCACACGACTGGGAGAGTGGCCCAGGACTCCACCTGAGGAGCTGGCCGCACAGCCCTGCGGGAAACCACCAAACCGCTGCCTTTCTGGGTCGCAGCCCAACTCCCTGTGCATCTTCGCGGAGCCCTCCCTAGCCCAGCCTGCCAGGTGTTTGCCAAGCACATTCATTCATTAATTCATGAATTAATTCAACTCATTAACAAACTGATACTTATCGAGTGCCCTCTGCGCCAGACCCTGTGTTGTGAATGAATCGCGGAGCCCTCCAGGAAGGAAGACAAAACCCGAGCCGGCAACCTGCAGGTGCGTCAGGAAGCCAGCAGGGGGCACGAGAGAGCAACAGGGCTCACTTGACAGAGGTGGACAGCGAAGGGGAGGACAGCGAAGCTGGGATCTCATTTGTCTCTCCACCTCCCACGAAACGGTGTGGCGGGCCCGGATTTCCTTCCGGACGGGATTCCCGGGGCCTGAACTCTGATTTGGGTTCAGCTTCAGCCCCTGCAGCTGCAGAAGGGAAGGGAGGTGACGCATAGACGGGAGCAGGAGCAAGCCCGGGGGACGAGGACAGGACAGGTTCCACGCGCGTGCTGGCGACACCAGGGCTCCTTACCTCCTAGGTCGCAGGCTGGAGGAGTTCCAGGAGGGCGGCGCCAGCCCAGCTCAGCCGCACAGCTGAGGAAGAACCAGAAACCTCGACTCAGCCAATGCCACACAGCAGAGCCTGGCTGTGCCCGCCGGCCAAGGTGGCGAGCAGGTCAGGGGGTCCTTCCTCCCGAAGTCCCATCCGCTCGGGCACCACCTGGGGCATCTCAGGAGAGGGGTGTGCAGGGAGGGAGGTCAGCCACCATGGCAACCCGTAACCACTTCTCTTATGACCGTGTCCCGAAGAGGCAGGGCTGGCAGTGACACAAACGGTCACCATGACAACACCTCCACATCCCTACCTTAGCAGGCCCGGTTCCTAGGGTCACTGGAAGGGGGGGAATGCTGCCCTGTTACCATGGTAACCAGGGCTCGGCCTTGCCTGTTTCTGACCTCCCTGGGGATGGTCCAGGCCCTGTCACCATGGCAACTGGCCCTCCAGCATGGTCTCTCCTCTAAATAAAAACACCTGGTTGGTTTGGTCCAGGGACCTCCCACTGATGGGAAGGGGGAGATGGTTACCATGGTAATGCCAGCAGGGTGGCTACGGGGGAGGGGATGAAGAAGAGATGCTTCTCTCAAGAGATTAGTGTCCTTGGGGGCTTCGGTCTTTTTCACCTGGGTGCTACATGAGAGGGGGTTGCCATAGTAACTAAAGAAGGTAGGGGCAGGACCAGCAGGGGCTTAGGTTACCTTAGCAACCTCCTCCTGGTGCAGAGGGTTTGGGGCTCCATAACCATAATGGTGGGAGTGGGGGACGCTCCGTGCTGGAGAAAGGTTACCATGACAACCGGCCAAGCCGGTGCTCAGAAAGGATGCCCGTCCGCGCTTACACCACCCCTGGTGGTCGCCCTTGACTGTCCGGGGCACGGGTACGTGGGTCTAGAAAGAGTAAGACTTCCTTCGGGGTGACGTGGGAGGAAGGAGACAGAACACGACCCCTGCCCCCAGGCTCGTTCCTGCAAGGGCGACCGCCGCGCGCGGGGCCTGGGTCTCCCGGGCCCCCTCCTCGGCTCGCCCGTCCCCGCCCCCCAGCCCTGCGCGCACGCGCGCCTTCGGGGTCGCCCAGGGTGGGCGAGGCTCGCGCCCGGCCTCACGCTCGCCCCCGTCCCCCGGTTCCCCGCCGAGCGCGCGCGCAGGGGGGGGGGGGTTGGCGCGGCCGCGCAGGCGCGCGAGGCTGAGCGGGCGCGCGGGCCGGCCCCGGCGCCTCCATGATGGAGGAGCGAGCGGCCGCCGCAGTCGCCGCCGCCGCCTCCCCCTGCCGCCCGCTCGGCTCCGGCACGGGTCCCGGCCCGACTGGGGCGGCCCCGGCTTCTGCCCCTGCCCCCGGGCCTGGCCCGGCAGGGAAGGGAGGCGGCGGCGGAGGCAGCCCCGGGCCCACAGCGGGCCCGGAGCCCCTCAGCCTGCCGGGGATCCTGCACTTCATCCAGCACATTGAGCTTCTTCGTAGTCTGTAAGCCAATCTGGGAGTCCGAGCACGCCGAAATCTACAAATTGAACTCTACTCCGAGAGCACAGGCCCCCCCACCCAGACCCGGTCCCGGTACGGCCCTCTCGATCCGCCGACGTCGCTTCCCATCTTGGAGCAATGGCCTCCCGAGCCGCCCGGGGGGGGGGGCTGCGGGCGGGGACGCGACGGTCCCGGGGAGCGAGTGGGGGGCAGCCCGGGGCCGGGGGTCCTGAGGCGGCCGCGGCGCGGCGGCGGGGAGTGGAGGGGCCCAGGCGAGAATCGGCGCTCGGCCGGCGCCGGCGGGAAGAAAGGGGCGGAGGAGCGACCCCGGCTGAAGTGGGGAGTGGGAGTGCGCGCTCGGCCGGGGGCTCCGGCGGGAGGCGGCGCGCGGCCCGGGGGCGCCTCGGGGAGCTCCGGCGAGGAGTTGCGGAGGAAGACCTGAGCGGTGTCGCCGCTGCCCCAGGTCTCCCATCCCCTGCCCCCGTCCCCGACCAGGTGCAAGGTGCAAGGTGCAAGCCGAGTCCGGGTGGGATAGACGGGGCGCCTGGGGCACTTGGGACTCGGCTGCCTACGGGCCGGGAGCCCGGAGGAGCAGGGAGAGGAAGTCCGGGAGTCTCGGATGGGGTGTGTTTCGGACGTCTGGGCCAGGGGACTGACACGTGACTCCGGGGGTGGCACAGAGTTTCCGGGGGCCCCGGGATGAAGAGGGCCCCCTCCCCTCTTAAGGCATCTGGGGAGCCCCATCTGGGTGGCTGCCGAGTGCAGGGAAGGGGTCCTGGGGTGGAAGCCGGCACAGGGCAGGGGACTGCCCAGGGAGCGTGGGCGCGGGAGCTGGGCGGTGGAGGCGCAGCTTGGGGGTGTGGCGGCCATGGCAGGTGGGTGTAGGATGGCAGGTAGGGAGCCCTAAGCTGCAGTGGGGTGTCCGGCAGATGAGGACACCCGGAATGGGGACAAAGAAGAGGGATGGAGGGTACCCTCGCCGCTGCATCCGCGGGAGCAGTGTGGGGGCGGGCGGCGTGTTTGGGGAAGGACCTCCTGGCGGTTTGGCCAGGAGTGCGCCCCGGGATGAGGTGTGGCTGGGTTGGTGACCTTGAGGGGCGAGCCGCCTGTCCCCTGCACGGTGTCCCCAGGAGCCCGGAGGTGAGAGCCTGGCTGGGGTGTTCTCAGCAGAGCCCCCCGTCGGCACTGGAGCTGATAACCCCCGAGAACCGGGCAGGGAGGGAGTGCTGCAGCCAGGCTCCCTGGCCGTCTCAGTGGGAGCAGGGGCTGGGGCCGGAGGGGCGGAATCCTTCCGTGAGGGCTAGCCTTGTGTCCCGCTCTCTTCTCAACACCCCATTGTGTGGTCAGGGCCAGGGTTATCTCACTCAGCGACCGGGAGAGCTGCCGTTTACTGAGCGCCTATTATGTGCCAGCTCTGTTCTGTCACACTCGGCAGTTAGTCTAGTGATCAGAAGTGGAAACAGAGGCTTTGAGGGGGTGAGCGACAGAGCTGGTCTGTGCTCTCCAGCTCTCTGCCACAGTCTAGATGAGGACCCCAGGCCGGGGACGCATGGGGCCTCCCCAGGTCGCTGGAGCCGGGTCTCTGGCACCTCCCACCCGTGCGCCCTACCGTCTGGGAGACTCACCGCAGGAAGGGCTGTGTTGAGCCCCTCGCCTCGCAGCCGCTCTGGGGTCCGAGAGGAAGTGGGTGCGTTCCTTTGGCCGTGTGTGTAACGGGAGGGAGCACCCTGGATGTCCACTTTGTGACTTTGCACATGCCCATGTGTGGGATTCCCTCCTGTCCCACGGGGAGCGGCCGGAAGCGCCCGCTGCAGCCACTCAGCTTGACCCCTGCTGCTGGTGCTGAGACAGATCCCGGGTTTCCCCGCTTCAGAAGCGGCCGCAGTGGTGGCCTTCCGTGCCTCGTGCGTGTGCAGGGGCCGCGAGGGCTGCCAGGGGCGCTGCCCACGCGCACGCACCTGTGCTGGGGCACCTTCCCCGAGCTCCAGCGCTGAGCGTTCATTCCGTGCCCGCGGCGTGCGTGCCCAGGACCCGCAGTCTGCAGTCTGAGAGTAAGCGCGGGTGGGCTCGGCGCGGGCTCTGCGGGGCTGCCGCTGTTTCCGCCCGGCAGAAGCTTCCAGGCCGAAAGAGGAGGTTGGTGTGTGCGGGAGGCCGCCGAGGCCACCCCGCACTCACGGCTGAGTTCCCTGTGGTGTGGCTCTGGGTATTATTTATTTATTTATTTATTTTTAGATTTAATTTATTTGAGACCGTGTTACAGAGAGAGAGGTCTTCTATCTGCTGGTTCACTCCCCAGATGGCTACAACAGTTGGAGCTGAGCCAATCCGAAGCCAGGAGCTAAGAGCTTCTTCCAGGTCTCCCATGTGGGTGCAGGGGCCCAAGCACTTGGGCCATCCTCTGCTGCTTTCCCAGGCGCATTAGCAGGGAGCTGGATCGGAAGTGGAGCAGCCGGGACTCAAACCGGCGCCCAGGGCTTTAACCTGTTGTGCCACAGTGCCACAGCGCTGGCCCCTCTACCTGTGTTTTTGGCACCTCTGAGAGGGACACTCTTTGGGGAGGGGTCTGAAGCAGATATTCCTGTGGGAGATGCCGTGGTGAGATGCCCGAGGAGACGTGTGGGCTGGCCCCTACCCCGGAGGCTTGACCCTGCCCCGAGCCCTGTGCTTGGGGGGAGTGGAGGACAGCAGGGCTGGCTGGCATGACCGCCATCCAGGCTGGGGCAGACCTGGAAAGGGAGAGCGTCTGGGGGAACGAGGGGTTCTGGGGGTGAGCGTGTGAGCTGCAGAGCACAGGCACGTCCCAGCCCACCTGCCGCCCGCGGAGGCCCCGCAGCCAGCCAGACGGCAGGGAGATCTGGCCCAGCGCCTCCCGGTGTGGGGGCGTTCCACCAGCCTGGGGCGCAGCTGCCAACCACGTTCTCTGGTTCTCTCTCCTCCCCTGTGTGCCGGAGGAGCTGGGAAGGGACGACAAAGCAGGTGAGAGCTGGCGCCACGGTTAGGAGGGAGATCGGACTTTGATGAGGGTGCAGGGAGGGAGGCCGTGCGAGTGAGGCCAGGAGGTGGGACAGGCACTCATCACCCCACCCCTGGGGGCCACTGCCGTCTCTCCCTGGGGTTTCTGTGCCTGCCCCCTTTGCTCCTCCCACCCCAATCCGGTCACCCTGTGGCTGGAGGCACCTTTACATCCGGCCACGCTGGTGCCGCCTCTGGGCTTAGACTGTAGCTGCCGGGCTGTCAGGCTGACGCCTCGCGCTGGTCAGTGTGTGCTCCCACCCTTGCTGACCCCACGCGGGCTCCTGTCCCTGTCCTCTGCCGGCAGCACCATCCTGCCCAGCCTCAGGTGCTCATCCAGCTGTCCCTCCTGCCCTGGGGACAGTCCCAGTGCATGGAGCATTCACCGCTCACGCCTGCGCCTTGTGCTGCCCTGAGCCCCAGGGGAGGGGAGCGGGCGTCACATGGCTTCTCCATGACGCCCGGGGGTGTTGGACGGTGCCTGTTCCCCGTGGGAGGCACCTCACGGTGGCCGGGTCCAAGCTCCCGCCAGGCCTGGGACAGAGAAGGTGCGGCAGCGCAGCCCACAGGCTGGGCAGTGGGAGGAAGTGCGGGCCAGTGTTTGCGACTGGCCTGTCTTCCGCTTCTAAAACGACTCGGAGTGGACTCACGGCACTGAGAAGACAGACAGAGACCTCTGTCCAGAGGCGGCGCCCGCCTGGGAGTGGTCGGTCTGTCTGGCCTCTGATGTTCCTGGGAGAAAAGTCCCTTCTCTCCGCGGACAGACGGGGCGTCTCCACGGCACAGCTGGGGGCGGCGTCCGCTTGTGCCTGTAGCCCCCATGTGGGGACCAGCAGGCCCCGGTGGTCAGCGTCTGTCCTCCCTGTCTGATAGTGTCTGTGGGGCAGACGGATGAAGGAGGGACTCTGTCCTGCGAGATGCTGTGCGTGTCCCTTACGCGAGAGGCAGCCGAGCACCGCGCGGTGTGTGTAGGATGGGCATGAGGAACCTGAGAGGTGCCCAGCCCAGGGTCACCTCCCAAGTTCCTGCAGTGGCTGCGGCTGGGGAGCCCGGAGCTCAGTGCCTTCTGCAGAGGAGGCAGGAGCCCAGTGACGTGGTCTGCACGAACTGGGAGCTGGAGTCGGGAGCCGGAGCTGGGCGCCTACTCTGGGCTCTGCCGTGTGGGCTGCGCTGTCTGCACTGTTAGGCTCGGCCTGCCCAGGCGTCCTGTAGCTGTTGCCCACTGGCCTCTAAGCTGGGTGGGCTGCATTACGACCACCAGCAGTGGGCGTGCTCTGTTCTCTGCTGATCCGAGAGGAGAGAGCAGAGCTGAGCCCTGCTCCCTGTGCGTGGGCAGGCAGGTGGCCGGCGAGCTTCAGCGGAGAGCGGGCAGCATGGGTGGGCGTACGAGAGCTACCCAGACCGGCTGGCCCTGAGCACGGCCTGGGGGGCTGCCGCCGAAGCCCCTTTGTCAGGCACGTGGTGCGCAGGGAGCTTGGCCAGGAAGCTGGGGCTGTCTGGGAGACCCGCCGAGGTGGTGGAGGATGACCATGGTGAGAGCGTGCGGCTGCCGTCGGCCTTTTCTCTGGGCTGGCCTTGGG